ATGCCACCCGGAAGTGGCCCACAGAAACATCGCCCTAAATCTGTGGAAAAGCGAGGGCTACCGCATCAAGAGCAGCTGCGGCCAAAGAGGCGAGCTCAAAAGCTGAGAATCGGGACGATGAATGTAGGAACTATGACTGTCCGAGGAAGAGCATTGACGGAGTTGATGCGGAGAAGGAAAGTGGACATTATTAGATGGAGTGGCAATAAGTCGAAAGAGTTGGGAGACGGATACAAGTTAATCTATGGAAGAGCAAATTTGGACAAAAGAAATGATATTGGAATAATAGTGTCGGAAAAATTGAAGAGTGCAGTTGTGGAAGTGAATAAAAAAAAGATAGAATTTGTAGATAAAGCTGGCTCTTGGGGAGTTGGAGATCAACGTATTTAGTGTGTACGCCCCTCAGACAGGTTGCACTGATGATGAAAAGGATGAATTTTGGACAACACGACAGGATGAATTTGAGAAGGTTGCTGAAGACGAAAGATATGTTATCGGTGGAGACTTAAATGGACATGTTGGGAGAGGATCCGATGTTATCAGCCGAGTGCACGGAGGGATGTGTTATGGCGAGGGAAATGAGGATGGAGAACGTGTTATTGATTTTGCCATCTCTAACGATATGGTTATCAGTAACACTATTTTTACGAAACGACAAGAATATCTTATCACGTACAGGAGTGTCGGAAGAGCTAGCCAAATAGACTACCTCTTGTATCGTAGGAGAAATATGGTTGGGATAATAAACTGTAAGGTAGTTCCAGGTGACCAATGGGCCAACCAACACCGACTGGTCGTGATGGATTTGAACATCAAGATATCTCGAGTGCATAGCACACCGAAACCTGGACCTAAGAAGATCAAATGGCATAGATTGAAGGATCAGGAGAAGAAAGAAGATCTGAACTCCTGGTGGAATGAAACAGCGGAATTTGTAATACGTGCAGGAAAAGAGATTTTAAGAGAAACTAGTGGAAAGATCTGGAAAGATATAGAAACCTGGTGGTTCAATGCTGAAGTACAACGGGCAATAACGGAGAAGAAAGGGGCTAAGAAGAAATGGGAAATCTCCCTAGCCGAAAGAGATAAAGAAGAATATAAGACCAAAAATAAAGAGGCAAAGAGAGCAGTGGCAATAGCTAGGAGCAGGGCTTACGATCAGTTGTATGAAGATCTAGACAGCAAGGAAGGACAGGGAAAGGTCTCCCAACTGCGAAGACAAGGAATAAAAGCACAAAAGATGTTGTACACATTAAGCAAATGAAAGATGAGAATGGAAATATAATCAGAACACAACAAGGAAACATCAAGAGATGGGAACAGTATTTCTCTAAATTACTGAACGAGGAAAATGAACGGCGCATCAGAGGTGATGAAGACGCTAACCAGGGTGCAGTCTTGGAAATATCAAGACAGAGGTGCAACAGGCGCTGAAGAAGATGAAAAACGGGAAGGCCACGGGACCAGACGGCATCCCCATAGAAGCCTGGAGAGCGATGGGAGAGGAAGGCATTGTCGTGTTATGGATGCTGAGGGGGAAGGTGATGGAAGAGGAGAATATCCCGACAGTATGGAAAGAAAGTATATTAATACCGATTTTCAAAGAGAAAGGAGATGTTCAAAATTGTGAAAATTATAGAGGCATAAAACTAATGTCACATACTTTGAAACTATTAGAAAGAATAACAGATGGCCGAATAAGACAGGAAGCGTTTATTGGAAGACAATAGCTGGGCTTCATGAAAGGAGTAGGAACGGTGAACGGGATATTCTGCCTTAGACAAACAATGGAAAAGTATCGAGAAAAGCAAAAAGTGTTACACAAGTTGTTTATAGACCTAGAGAAAGCTTATGATAGAGTGCCGAGACAGGAAGTGTGGATGCGCAAGCGAGGAGTGATGGAGAAATACGTGAGAATGATTCAAGAGAATTATAAGAATGTTACCACTAAGGTCCGATGCACAGTGGGAATGACAGATGGCTTTGAGGTTACGGTTGGCTTGCACCAAGGCTCGGCCCTCAGCCCAATACTGTTCAATGTGGTTATGGATGTGAGGACAGAGGAAGTGCGTGAAGAGCCACCATGGTGCATACTGTATGCCGATGACATCGTGTTGGTGGCGGAGACGAAACAGGAGCTACGGAGGAAGATGGAAGGATGGAGAACTGCATTGGAGAGTAGAGGGCTGAAGATAAGCAGGAAAAAGACAGAGTATTTCACAACGGACACAGACGGAGATCAACAGTCAACGATACAAATAGATGGATTGAACCTGAAGAGAGTGGACCACTTTAATTATTTGGGAGCGATGGTCGAGGAAGATGGCAGCATGGGAAGAGAGATTAAACACCGAATTCAATGTGGATGGAATAATTGGAGAAAGGTGCATAAGTCTGTGGTCAGACCAGCTATGACATATGGTTTAGAAACTGCACCACTGAGAAAAGTTGAAGAAAGGAAATTGGATGTTGCTGAAATGAAAATGCTCAGATGGATGGT